GTTCTTGTGCCAGTACCAGATTGTTTTGAGTATAGTGGCTTTGCAGTACAGTTTGATGTCCGGTATTGTGATCCCTCCTACTTTGTGTTTCTTTCTCAAAATTGCTGCAGCTATTCGGGGTCGTTAATGGTTCCATATAAATTATTGAAATGTCTGTTCTATTTCTATGAAATACGTCATTGGTATCTTAATAGGGATTGCATTGAATCTATAAATTGCTTTGGGTAGTATGGACATTTTGATGATATTAATTCTTCCAATCCATGAGCACGGTATATGCTTCCATGTATTTGTGTCTTCCTTCATTTCTTTCTTCAATGTTGTATAGTTTTCTGCGTACAGGTCTTTTACCTCCTTGGTTAAATTTATTCCTAGGTACTTTATTTTTCTTCTTGCTATATCGAATGGTATTTTTTCTCTGATTTCTTCTTCTTCTATTTCTTTGCTGGTGTACAAAAATGCCTTTGATTTCTGAATGTTGACTTTTTATCCTGCTGTTTTGCTAAATTCACTTATTAGGTTGAGGAGTTTTTTGGTAGAGTCTACAGGGTTCTCTATGTACACTATCATGTCATCTGCAAACAATGATAGCTTTACTTCCTCCTTTCCTATTTGGAAGCCTTTTATCTCTTTATCGTATCTGACCGCTGTGGCTAGGACTTCCAATACAATGTTGAAAAGAAGCGGTGAGAGCGGACATCCTTGTCGTGTTCCCGATCTTAGTGGGAAAGCTTTCAGTTTTTACCCATTGAGTATGATATTGGCTGTAGGTTTTTCATATATGGCCTTTATTACGTTCAGGAATGCCCCATTTATTCCCATTTTGCTGAGTGTTTTGATCATAAATGGGTGCTGTACCTTATCGAATGCTTTTCCTATGTCTATCGAGATGATCATGTGGTTTTTGTCTTTTCTTTTATTTATGTGATGTATCACGTTTACTGATTTGCGTATATTGAACCATCCCTGCATCCCTGGGATGAATCCCACTTGATCGTGGTGGATAATCTTTTTAACGTATTGCTGGATGCGGTTTGCCAATATTTTGTTGAGGATTTTAGCGTCTATGTTCATCAGCGAAATTAGCCTGTAGTTTTCTTTCTTTGTAGGGTCTTTATCTGGTTTTGGATCAGGGTGATGCTGGCCTCATAGAAAGAGTCTGGGAGTCTTTCCTCCTCTTGGATTTTTTGGAATAGTCTGAGAACGACAGGGGTTAGCTCTTCCTTAAATGTTTTGTAAAATTCTCCTGTGAAACCATCTGGCCCTGGGCTTTTGTGTGCTGGGAGTTTCTGGATGACTGCTTCAATTTCCCCAGCTGTTATCGGTCTGTTCAAGCTTTCTGTTTCTTCCTCCTTCAGTGTTGGAAGATTATACTTTTCTAAAAATGTGTCCATTTCATCAAGATTTTCAAATTTCTTGGCATATAATTGTTCATAGTAGTTTCTGACAATCCTTTGTATTTCTGTGGTATCAGTTGTTATTTCTCCTCTTTCGTTTCTGATATTATTAATTTGGGTCTTTTCCGTTTTTTTCTTGATGAGTCTGCTTAAAGGCTTGTCCATTTTATTTATCTTTTCAAAGAACCAGCTTCTGGATTGGTTGATCCTCTGAATTGTTCTTTTCACCTCCATGTCATTCAGTTCTGCTCTAATCTTGACTATTTCCTTCCTTCTACTTGCTCTGGGATTTATTTGTTGTTGTTTCTCCAGTTCTTGAAGTTGTAGTGTTAGGTCTTTTATTTGAAATGTTTCTTTATCTTTTGTAGGTAAGCCTGTATTGCTATGAACTTCCCTCTCAGGACCGCCTTTGCTGTGTCCTGTAGGTTTTGGACTGTTGTCTGTTCATTTTCATTTGTTTCCAGGAATGTTTTGATTTCTTCTTTGATCTCGTTATTGACCCATTCATTGTTTAATAGTCTACTGTTCAGTCTCCATGCGTTTGCAGGTTTTTGAAGTTTCTCTTTGAGGTTGATTTCCAGTTTCAAACCCTTGTGGTCCGAGAAAAAGTTTGGTATTATTTCAATTTTCCTGAATTTTCTGAGGTTTGCTTTGTGTCCTATCATGTGGTCTATCTTTGAAAAACTGCCATGAGCATTTGAAAAGAATGTGTGTTTTTCTTCTTTGGGATGTAAGGTTCTATATATGTCAGTTAAGTCTCTTTGATTCAGTGTGTCATTCAGCAACTTTATCCTTCTTTTTCAAGATTGCTGTGGCTATTTGGGGTCTTGTGTAGTTCCATATAAATTTTTGGATTATCCTTTCTAGTTCTGTGAAATATGCCATTGGTATTTTGATAGAAATTGTGTTAAATCTGTAGATTACTTTGGGTAGTATGGACATTTTAGTGATGTTAATTCTCCCTGTCTGTGAACACAGTATATGCTTCCACTGATTTGTATGTTTTTCAATTTCTTCCTTCAGTGTTGTATAATTTTCCAAGTACAGGTCTTTTACCTTCTTGGTTACATTTATTCATCGGGATTTAATTTATTTATTTATTTACCTTATTTATTATTATTTTTTAATACTCACTTGAGGATATGTTCACCGGTTTGCCGGGGGAGGGGGGGAGAGATCAATTGGTTGCCTTCTGTACGTGCCCTGACCAGGGGTCAGGCCCACAACCTAGGTATGTGCCCCAACTACAATTGAATCCAAAGCCTTTTTTTGAATGGGCAAAGGAACTGGGCAGATGCTTTTCTAAGGAGGAGATACAGAGGGCCCAGAGGCATTTGAAAGGATGCTCAGCATCACTAGCCATCAGAGAAATGCAGATCAAAACCACCATGAGGTACCACCTCACACCGGCCAGAATGGCCATCATAAACAGATCAACAAACCACAGGTGCTGGCGAGGCTGTGGACAAAAGGGAACCCTAGTCCACTGTTGGTGGGAATGCAGACTGGTGCAGCCACTGTGGAAAGCAGTGTGGAATTGCCTCACAAAGCTGAAAATGGAACTGCCTTTCGATCCAGTGATTCCCCTGCTGGGACTATACCCTAAGAACACCAAAACGCCGATTCAAAAGAACCTATGCACCCCAATGTTCATAGCAGCACAATTTACAATAGCCAAGTGTTGGAAGCAACCTATATGCCCATCAGTAGATGACTGGATCGAAAAGTTATGGTACATTTACACAATGGAATACTACGCAGCAGAAAGAAAAACAGAACTACTAAACTTCACGACAGCATGGATGGAACTCGAGAGCATTATACTAAGCGAAATAAGCCAGGGAGCGAAAGACAAATACCATATGATCTCACCTATAAGCGGAACCTAACCAACAAAACAAAGATGCAAGGAAAATAAGACCAGTAACACTGAAAGGAAAAGAAAGCAACAGAGACAAGAGGGAAGGAGGGAGGGGGTGTGGGGACAAGGAAGGGAAGGGGAAAGTCAAGGAACATATAGCAAGGACTCATGGACAAAACCAAAGGGGAAGAGCTGAGGGAGGGAAGGAGGGAGGGGGCAAGGGAAAGTGGTGGGGGGGAGGCAGAGACAAATGTATTTAAAAAGAAAATAAATTAAAAAACAAACAAACAAACAAACAAAACAAACAAAACCTTTTTTTGATGTGCAGGATTACATTCCAAGCAACTAAACTACCTTGCCAGGGCTTTTTTTCTAAATACATTTGTAAGTGAGATTGTTTTCTTAGTTTCCCTTTCTGATAGTTTATTATTGGTGTATAAAAATGCAAACGATTTCTGAATATTTATTTTGTATCCTGCTATTTTACTGAATTTATTTACTAGCGGTAGTTTTTTGGTGGTGAAATCTTTAGGGTTTTTATATATAGTATCATGTTATGTGGAAAAAAATAGTTTTACTTCATGTTTTCTAATTTGTATGCTTTTTATTTCTTCTTTTGGTCTGATTGCTGTGGCTAAGACTTCCAGTACCATGTTGAATAGGAGTGATGAAAGCGAGCATCCCTGTCTTGTTCCTGATCTTAAAGGAAACACATGTAGTTTTTGCTCATTGAGTATGAGGTTGGCTGTGGGTTTGTCATATATGGCTTTTATTATGTTGAAATATGTTCCCTGTATTTCCATTTTGCTGACAGTATTTATCATAAATTGGTGGTGGATTTTGTCAAATGCTCTTTCTGCATCTATTGATACGATAATATGACTTTTATCCATCATTTTGTTTATATCATGTATCACATTAATTGATTTGTGGCTATCCTTGGATCCCAGGAACAGTTCCCTCTTGGTCATAGTGTATTATCTTTTTAATGTATTGCTGGATCTGGTTTGTTGATATTCTGTTGAGGATTTTTGCATTTATGTTCATCAGGGACATTGGCCTATGATTTTCTTTCTTTGTAGTGCCTTTATCTGATTTTGGAATTAGGATAATGCTGGCCTTGTAAAATGAGCTTAGAAGTCTTCCCTCCTCTTGATTTTTTTTTGGAATAGTTTAAGAAGGATACGTGTTAGTTTTTCTTTGAATTTGTGATAAAATTTACCTGTGAGGCCATTCAGTCTAGAACTTTTTTGCTGGGAGGTTTTCTTTTTATTCTCACCTAAGAATGTTTTTTAAAATTTCTTTTAGAGGGAGGAAAGGAAAGGAGGTGGGGGGAGAGAGAGACAGAGAGACAGAGATACAGAGATACAGAGACAGAGACAGAGACATGGATAAGAGAGAGAAACATTGATTGGTTGCTTCCTGTAAGTGCTCCAACTGGGAATTGAACTTACAATCTAGATATGTGCCCTGACTGGGAATCAAACCTGCAACCTTTCAGTTTATAGCACAACACTTCAACCAACTGAGCCACACTGGCCAGAGCATGCTGGGAGGTTTGTTTTTTTTTTAAATTAATGCTTCAATTTTGTTAGTTGTAATCAATCTGTTCAGATTTTCTGTTTATTGATTCAGTTTTGGAAGATTGTATGTTTCTAGGAACTTATCCATTTCTTCCCAATTGTCCGACTTGTTAGTATATAGTAGTTTGCAGTATTTTTTTCATTATTATTACTATTAGTACTACTCAGACTGCATTCCCTCCCTCTTACTCTTCCAAAGGAAGAAAAGAACGATTATCAATGGCTATTAGCAGCTGCAAAAGCAACACCAAAACCCGGCTTCATGCTCAGGAGAGAACACTGTGCCTCCTCCTTGTGGTTTTGGGTGCTCTACAAGTTTAGAGAAACTTCTCTAGTAACAAACTATAGAAATGATCCCTGAAAAGATAGTCTTTGTAATATTTTCTTATAATCCTTTGTGTTTCTGTGGAGTCAGTTGTTACTTCTTTTTTTAAATTATATTTTATTGTTTATGTTATTACAGTTGTTCCAATTTTTCCCCCTTTGCCCCTCTCTATCCAGCTCCCCTAGTCTCTCAGGCAACCCCCACACGTCTGTCCATGTCTATGGGTCATGCATATTAAGTTCTTTGGCTACTCTGTTTCCTATGCTGTATTTTACGTCCTTATGGCTGTTCTGTAACTACCAGTTTGCACTTCATAATCCTTTCACTTTTTTCCTTTTTTCCCATTTATTTTTTATTTTATTTATTTGGTCCTCTTTCTTTTTATCTTGATGAGTCTGGTTAAACGTATATCAACCTTGTTTATCTTTTTAAAGAGCAGCTCTTGGTTTCATTGATCTTTTGTATTGTTTTTTAGACTCTATTTTGTTTATTTCCACTCTGATCTTTATTATTTCCTTCCTTCTGCTCACTTTGGGTTTTGCTTGTTGTTCTTTTTCTAGTTTCTTTAGGTGTAAGTTTATATTGTTTATTTCAAATTTTTCTTGTTTTTTTAAAGTTAAGAATATTTTTATTTCCAAAATATTAAAGTTTAAAAATATTTTTGGGACAAAATATAGATTTATTCTTGCAAACCTGGTAACTCTAACCAACTGCAGTATTCTTATTGCCATTTATTCTTATTGTGTTTTATTTTCTTTAATGTGATGGGAAATATGTATGTTACTAGCAAAAGATTCATTCCATTAGAAGATGGGAGTGGTGCCATCCTTTGTAAGAAATGGCGGTTATAACAGTCAGAAGTGAAGTTATGGTTGAAAGAGACCGGGGGCAGGATGATGGTTAAATTTAATAGACTTGGTGCCATTGTTTGCTTTTTATGCCTTGCTGTTTTAGTAGTTGTAGAAGTATACATGTGGGAAGTGGTGTGTGCCAGTGCTTGTTGACAGTGGCCCTATTTTTGTCACTGCACATTTAATTTTATTTTTTCCTCATAATCCCTTCTTCCTTTTTTATTTACTTTTTAACTGAATTTGTTGTGGTGACATGGGTTAATAAAATTATGTAGGTTTCAGGTGTACAATTCTATAATATATCATCTGTATATAGTATTGTGTATTCACCAGCCCAAGTTGTCTCCTTCCATCACCATTTACTGCCCCTCTTTACCGAAGCACTAAAAGACTACTTCCCCCCACCCCCTTTCCATCTTGTCATTGCAGTACTGTTGTCTGTGTCTATGAGGTTGTTTATTTATTTATTTTTTTGCTTAATCCCTTCACCTTTTTCACTCAACCCTTCAACCTCCCTCCCCTCTGACAGCTGTCAGTTTATTTTCTATGACTCTGTCTTTATCTTGTTTGTTAGTTTATTTTTTTCATTAGATCCCATATATGAGTAAAATCATGTGGTACTTGTCTTTCTTTGACTGGCTTATTTCACTTAGCATAATGTTCACTGGAACCATCCATGCTGTCACAAAGGGTAAGATTTCCTTCTTTTTTTTTATGGCCAAGGAACATTCCCTTGGATAAATGGACCACAGCTTTTTTTTATCCACCCATCTACTGATGGGCACTTGGGCTGCTTCCAAATCTTAGCTATTGTAAATAATGCTGCAATGAACATAGGGGTGCTAATATTTGTAACAGAGTAGAAGAACATATAATATCCATATAACTTTATACCAACCAGAATTAAATGCACTAATAAATTCACAAGCCTGTTGGAACATAAACAGGAACAAAACTTTTGCTTACAACTTCTATTTTAGTACTCTGCAGGGACCAGCACTTCCAGTTTCTATCTGGATGGAAGTTGACCGACCAAAAGAATTCAGCTTATGCAGAAGGATTCAATATGCTGAACCAGCGAGAACACAGCCTGCATGCCCCAACTTCCCTTTCCTCTCCTTATAAAAGCCACCAGCTTGATTAACATGTTAAGATGATCTTTAGGACAAAAGTCTGCCACGTTCTCAGGTTTCTGGCACCTGAATAAAGTTCTTTCCTTTTCACCTGCACCTGTTTCATGAGTATAGGCTTATGTTGTGGTGGGCAGCCAAACCTCCATTTGGTAACATATTCTTGCAAATTAGTGTTTCATGTTTCTTCAGATATATTCCCAGAAGTAGAATCACAGGGTCATAAGGCAGTTCGTTCCATTTTTAGTTTTTTGAGGAAACTCCATACCGTTTCCCACAGTGGCTGCAGCAGTCTGCATTCCCACCAACAATGCATGAAGGCTCCCTTTTCTCCACATCCTTGCCAATGTTTGTTCTTTGTTGATTTATTGATGATGGGCATTCTGACAGGTGTGATGCAATATCTCATTGTGGCTTTAATTTGCATTTCCCTGATGATTAGTGACATTGAGCATCTTTTCATATGTCTGTTTCCCATCTGTATGTCCTCTATGGAGAAGTGTCTGTCCAAGGTCTTTGGATTTTTTAATTGGATTTTTTTCGGTGTTGAGTTTTTATAAGTCCTTTATAAATTTTGGCTATTAACCATTAATCAAATGTATCATTGGTGAATATGTTCTCCCATTCAGTGGTTTTTCCTTTCATTTTTTTTTGATGGATTTCTTTGCTGAGCAAAAACTTATAGTTTGATATAGTCCCATTTGTTTATTTTTTCTTTTGTTTCCCTTGCCCGAGGTGATATATCAGAAAAAAACATTGCTATGAGAAATGCCCCAAATTTTACTACTTGTGTTTTCTTCTAGGATTTTTATGGTTTCAAATTTAACATTTAATTCTTAAATCTATTTTCAGTTTATTCTTGCGTATGGTGTAAGAAGATGGTATAGTTTTATTTCTTTGCATGTATTTGCCCAGTTTTCTCAACAGCATTTATTGAATAGACTATTTTTACCCCATTGTGTTCTTTGCTTCTTTTGTCAAAAATTAATTGACCAGTAAAAGCTTGGGTTTATTTCTGGGCTCTCTATTCTGTTTCATTGATTTGTATGTCAGTTTTTATGCCAGTATCATGCTGTTTTGATTACTGTGGCATTGTAGTATAGTTTGATATCTGGTAGCATGATTCCTACAACTTTGTTCTTCTTTCTCGAGATTGCTGTAGCTATTTGTGGTCTTTTGTAGTTCCATATAAATTTTTGGAATATTTGTTTTAGTTCTGTGAAATACACCATTGGTATATTGATAGGAATTGCATTGAATATATAGACTGCTTTGGGTATTATGGGCATTTTAATGATGTTAAATTTTCCTATGCATGAGCACAGTATATATTTTTATTTATTTGTATCTTTTTCAGTTTCTTTCTTCAGTGTCTTATAATTTTCCAAGTGCAGGTCTTTTACCTTCTTGGTTAAATTTATTCCTAGGGATTTTTTGATGCAGTTGTAAATAGGATTGTTTTCTTAGTTTCCCTTTCTGATAGTTCATTATTAGTGTATAAAAATGCAACTGCCCTGGCCAGATGACTCAGTTGCTCAGTTGGTTGGAACATCATCTCCTCTTGTACACCAAAAGATTGCAGGTCCAATGTCTGGTCAGGGTCTCTCTTTCTCTCCCTGCTCCCTCTGCACCTTACTTTCTCTGAAAAAAAAAAAAAGCAACTTATTTCTGGGTATATATTTTTTACTCTGCTAATTTACTGAATTTATTTATCAATACTAATAGTTTTTTTGTGGAATATTTAGGGTTTTCTATATACAGCATCATGTCATCAACTTCTTGCTTCTTGAGGTAGGCCTGTATTGGTATCAAGTTCTGACTTTTTAACTTTTTAAATTTCAAACTTTTTAAATTTATTGAGATTTTTTGTGTGTCCTATCATATGGTCTATCCTAGAGAACATTCCATGTGCACTTGAAAATAGTGTATTTCTGCTGCTTTACAGTGAAATACTCTGAAAATACCAATTAAATCCATCTGGTGTAGTGTGTCATTTAAGGTTGCTGTTTCCTTGTTGATTTTCTGTCTGGAACATCATCCAGTGAAATCAATGAGGTGCGAAATTCCCCTGCTACGACTGTGTTATGGTCAATTTCTCCTTTTATATCTATCAATGTTTGTTTTATATATTTATATGCTCCTATGTTCAGTGCATAAATGTATACAAGGATAATATCTTCTTGTTGGATTGTTCTGTTTATCATTATGTAGTGTCCTTCTTTGTCTCTTACTATAGCCCTTGTTTTAATGTATATTTTGTATAAGTATTGCAACCTCAGCTTTTTTTTTCATTTCTATTTGCATGGAATAGCTTTTTCCAGCCCTTTACTTTTAGTCTGTGTGCCTTTCGTTGTGAGGTATGTCTTTTGTAGACAGTATACAAGGTCTGTCCAGACAGTATTCAGCCATGTAATATGAAAAATAGAGAAAATGATTGAAGAAGATACAAGAAACATTGTACAAAAGACAATGACACCTCAGTCCCCTTCAGAGTAGGCACCTTGGGACCTCACACAGTTCTCCCAATTGCCATCAACTGCCCTGTCATATTTTCCTGAATCTCATCAACAGCCTGAAATCTCTTCCCTTTCAAAGGTGATTTTAGATTGGGAAGAGCCAGAAGTTGCAGGGTGCCAAATCTGGGCTATAGGGAGGCTAAGTCACCTGGGTGATTTGATGTTTAACTAAAAAGCTCTGCACAAGATGTGATACATGAGTGGGCATGTTGTGCTGAAGCTGCCAATCACCAGCTGCCCATAGCTGTGGCCTTCTGAATTATGTGAATAGTTTCCATGGAGAAATGTTCAAGCTTAATGCAAAATTTGATGCAGGCTTGTTGCTCTGCTCGCTGTCATTTTGAGTGCAATGGCCATGGAGTACACGTGCTCACTCAACAGTGTCTACCACCCCCACTGACTAGTATAGCAAAGTCATCATTTTTCATACATGTGCATTCCAGGCCACTCTCCTTGGCAGCGAGGTTACATCAAAGTCATGTAAACTGTTGGAGTTATAGTAACAATGGCTGGAATTTTTCTGGACAGACCTTGTGTGTATGGTCTTAATT